GAGGTTGTGGAGTCTCCTTCTCTGGAGACATTCAAGACCCGCCTGGACACCTTCCTGTGTAAAATTGTTTAGGTTCCTGCTCCGGCAGGGGGATTGGACTGGATGATCTTTCGAGGTCCCTTCCAATCCCCAACATTCTGTGATTCTGTGATTCTGTGACTGTTCTGGGGGAGGGAAGTGGTACCTGGGCTTGAGCACAGACAAAGCATGGAGACTAGTTTAGTTGGTGTTCACCCATGTGCAAATTCTTTTCCCTCATCTTTACAATGACACATCCTTTTCCAAAAACAACTAGATTCCCAGAAGGAAAGCGGGCATAGACAACCTGGCAATGGAGCGCTAAATCCTGCTTCACCTCACAGCTGGACTGAATGACTCTTCCTGCTATCTTCCCTCTGCTGCACCTACAAATCAGACTATCTTCACCTTGAATGCCAAGAGCTGCCCAGCTGCCGCTTCCATCCTCCTCTATAACCTCAGCAACTGCCAGTCCTAATCTCTGTACGTGGGTGAATGCATTCGCATGGTACCTGCAATGCCATCCTAGGCCATCCACCCATTTGAGTCAGTCCACCCCACAATCTCCGTAAGATACAGTACCTTGTGCTGGACTTTTCAGCTACAAGCCATAGATCATCTTCAGCTACTGCAGCCAAAGTGGAGAGAACAGGTGCTCCCTCATGCAGAGCCAGCAGCCATGGGAACGACCAGGGAGTGAGGGCAAGGAGAAAGTAAGAAACTATTGTTTCTCTTCAGCTAGAGGCTGGAATCCTTTTCCAAGCTCATACTTGCTGATCGCCAAAACATGTTGTGGAACATCCTCACACTAAGATCCCTTCTCGGATGACTGAATGGGAGGCCCAGCTATGCTTCTTTTCAGGGTTTTGGGCTCCAGCAGGATGGAAAGCAAACCATAGCACTGTCCCTGACTGTGAACATCTATTAAAAGAGGCAGCACAAGTCCCTGAAGATGCTTCAAAGCACAGACACAGCTTCTGGGAACCCTTTCAGTCCCTGTAGAGACATTTGGAGCATGTAATCAGAGAGTCAGCTTCCTTTATGTGCTGCATCAACTTTAGAAACAGTTTGCCTCACTCTTCCCAGGGGACACAAAAGCAGGTGAAGATGAAATTGCTCTGTGCAAGGGAGCAGTGCCTCCCTCCTCCCTACAGCCTTTGCAGAGGATGCTTGGGGCACTAAAGAGAAAGCTTGTTCTTCATCCTGAAGATTAGCAATGCCTCTAATTCGAAAAGCGTCATCACCTTATGTAGCCAGGTTTTCAACTGGGATAGTCCCTCTGCTTTAGGGTAATACTTTGTGTCCCCATAGGTGATCCCATGATGGGGTAGGGTGACCCTTTTTGCTGGGGCACATACTAGTAAGGTCCAACTCCAGAAGGCAGCACCTGAAAGGCAGCCAAGCACCTGCTTCATGAAGAGGAGTGGTGGTACATGTCCTTCCAATGTTTCCACCATAGCTGGAAGGCAGGATGAGGCCAGGGATATTAGGTGCAATTCCAACCAAGTCCTGGCAATGGCAGTACTTGAGCAAACTGGCATCAGCACACAGAAATACCTCTAGTTTCAATGCCAGCTCCAGGAATAAAATGTTTTATCTTTACAAACATTTAGCCTTAGCTGAGCTCGGCAAGGAAACATTATCATCTGCTCAGTGCTAAGATGCTGGGAATAGTAGCATGCAGTCTGTCACTACCCTGTGGACAATGCAGGAATAGCTGCTCAGACTGAGCTAGACTAGAAGCAGCCATAAAATAAACTTTCTTCATTGTTCTCTTAGTCTGTGGTTTTGCTGTTGTTAAGCCTGCTGCAGTGCTGTTGAAAGCTGCCCAGCAAGTATCTTCATCGTAGTTCAGGCAATTCTAATTCCTTTTTGAAGGGTATGTAGAAGGTCAGCAGCAGAGGCCCATGGATCAGTGTCTTCTGTGGTTCCAAAACCAGCAGAATTCAGGCAGCAGCAACTCAACTGCTAGACCCATCAGAAGCAGGCAGCCAGTGTATCTAAGCAACAGACCTCTATCCCCTGAAGACTAAGTATAGATTCTCTGGGCAAAAGGGAAAAAAAGGTGCCACCAGGAAAGATTTTGCTCATGAGAAGTAAAGCTTCCCCAAAGGAAGCTTAAAAAAGACAGAATAAAGCCCAAGAAAAGGCAGACAGTCTGATTATTTCATTCTGCTCCAGTCGCAGTCGCGCAACAACATTCATCAGTGGATGTGGCAATCAAAAGCCCTTGCAGTACTGCAGAGCAGCCCAAACTTCACACACACCTTGCACTGTAAAGCACTTGCCAACGATTGTGGCCCACAGCATGTTTGAGTTGTGTTTGCAAAGGGAGGAGTGAGCTGCCAGTAGCTATCCCAGTACCAGCCTCATTGGGCTCTAAAAGCAGAGCCCTTAGGGCCCAGTATATTTGATTCTGTGCTCAGAGGTTTAGTGGGGAAAAGAGATAAACTGTTAAGTCTTTTAACTGATGGACCCTTGTTTTATCTTTCAAATCACAGGCTACCAGCCCAGGGCTCTGGGCTAGTCCCTCCTGTTGAATCTCGCCTGCCTTGCTTGTTAGCCTGTTCTTTAACAGTGTCCAGGGGCAGCTACCACTGCCACCTAGCAGTCCTCACAACACAGCCACTGTGCATTAGAGCTGGAATCAGGACAGGTATTCCATTTTGCACACTCCTGCCCTCCAGAACTGAAGAAGATTATTTTCTTCTTCAACCACACACTGGGTTGCATGTTATAGGAAGCTGAGTTGGGAGAGGATGTGGCAACATTGATTGGACTGCATATGCTAGTGTGAATTGAAAAAGGAGCCTCCTCCACACACAGGGAGGGTTAAAGAAGAGCACAAGACAGCTCCAGAGGGGTTATCAACTATAAAAATACTCTCATCTGAGAAGCTGTTAATGGTGAGCAGTTCCACACATGCGCAATCACTTGCTAAGCAGGGAATGGTCTAGAACAGGGCAAGGGTTGGTAAATGCATACCCAGGGTGATGACCGCAGCTGATCATAAGGCGATTGACTGGAATCAGGAATGAGTCTGCTATTGCGTCAGCCCATCCAGGCCTCTCTACCTTCCACCCTTCATTACTTATTAACAAACACATGCATCAGTCACAGTCTGATACTCATTTGTAGGCTCTGTGACTGCCTGCAACCTGCAATATTAGCATGCATTAGACCAAGCACAGCACCAAGTGTCAAGTCCTCAGAGAAGGAGGCTGCAGCAGTAACAAGGCTGGCACTAACCCACTCAAGATGCCAGAGATCTCACAAAGGGACAAAAGGAGGTCGTAGACAAGGTAGGACACGTGCTCAGAGCAGAGGTCTATGCAAAAAAAAAAAAAAAAAAAAGAAAAAACAAAAGAAGCAACATACTTGTCTCTAGTCTCCATCCTTGGAGCTATTCAAAGCCATCTGGACATAGCCCTGGGAGACTGGCTTTGGGTGGCCCTGCTTGAGCAGGGGAATTGGACCAGATAGATCCCCTCCAATCTCAACCATTTTGTGATTCTGTGATCTCTTCCTTTTGAGCACAGCACTCCTGATAGCACATGGAAAACACCAGATCCTGGTGTTTTCCAACCATGCTGTCAAGATGGCCCCTTGACAGCCCACTCCAGTGGCCCCTGGTTTTGTAGGGACATCAGTGAGCCTGCAGTCTTCACCTCAGCACATATGTAGGCTCCTGGGTAAGGTACTCCAGTGAGGAAAGCCACCAGAAATACAGGCTGCATAGGGCTAGCTCGAGCCAAGCAGGAGACAGGTGATGCTTCCTTACTGCTTGACAGCCAGATCCATATACCAACCCAACCCAGTCCCAGTTCCAAACTCAGCCTCTCCCAAACATGACCGTGAAGTTTGGAGAAGTACTTCAGGTAGTACTCAGGTGTCAGACAGCACTGGGCTGAGGCCACACAAACCAGGTCCAGCCTTAAAAGAGCTGCCCAACTGTGCCCTCTGTAGTAAGATAGGGTCTGGCGACCGGAAGATATCGGGCTGTACGGAAAGGTAAGACACCCCCCTCTCTCTCCTAGTAGCCAATAGCATTTAGCCTGTGATGTAAGCAGGTGGAAGTGACGTAGTGAACCCACACCATATAGTACTGTGTCGCACAGCATTAAACGCCATTTGCAGCATCCTCATATTGGTGTCAGTGCTCATTGGCCCAGAGACGGGGTGTGTGTTTGTCTCTGTGCCTCCTCGACCGGACGGGACGTTGCGGGATAACAACTGCAACAGCCCTCAGAGACCACTACTGTCCTCCCAGTAAGGCAAACAGTAATCCAGCACGCATAACTAAGAACAGCCACTCACTTATACGACAGCATATAATCTTTGATACTCTCATTCTCAGCACTGACAGCCCATAGGAGCATGGCAGGTCTGAGGATCTTTATTTCACAGTTATCAATGGCTAGAGGGATGAGTTACATACTGTAGCACCCACAGGTAGGCAGCATATCACAGTAACAACGTGGTACTCACTTTGGGTTTAATGACAGGACGTAAGACTGCACAGCTGTGCTCAAGGTACCGAGGCAGCTCCAAAGGCTGGCAGTGAAAACAAGATATTAAACCTGGAAAAAACCAAGTGGCCCAACTAGGGCTTAGGGGGGGAAAAAAAATATTATCACATTGATGCCAGGGAAAAAAAAGAGTTCATAGAGCAGCAAGTACAAGTATTCCCAAAGGAGAAGCAATAACATAGACATGGAAAGAACAGATAAGAGAGGGAGAAGCTCAGGACTAGTCATAACCACAGCTGGACCAGATCACAACAACATATTTCACTACATGAAGCAACATGCCCTACACTTTTTGTGGTGTGTTAAATTAGTCTGTCTTCATCCCTTCCCAGCCAGCTCACAGTCCAGCAGTTAGTTGCAACATTGTGTGCAAACACAGTTAGTGAGAGTGATCCACAGCTCCCCATCCCTTGTAATGGACTACTGTAATTCATCAGAGGCTTGGAAAGCGTAAGCCACACACCGCACATGAGAACAAAGACAGGTGGAAGCTCTCGCCAGCCACACAGCATGCTTGGTGCCCTGCTTATGCAGCAGTCCCAGCGAAGGCTACTGAAGTTGTGTCTCTGGATACACTGACCTACAGAGGGCCACATAGTAGCAAACTACACCACTCCTCAGGCTGACCTGAACTCAGCTGGCATGTTGAAAACAAACAGGGAGACACTGGAAGCGCTGTAAGGGCTTGGACACTCCACAGAGAATTAATATGGCCTGTAGTTCCAGTAACTGGAGAAAACAGAGATCTGGAAAGCAAGAAGAAAAGCAGGTAAGTTCCTGTATCCCTTGGGCCATAGAAGAAAGAGCACATAATGTGTACGTGAAGATTGAGCTTTACAGCACTATGCACTCCAGCACTGCACTTGCTGAAGGGCAAGATTTGCTGCTATTGTCACTGAAGAGGCTTGGAGCACAAAGTTATTTGCTCAAGGTGGCAGCTGCGTCAGCTGCAGAGCTGAAACTGAACACTGGTGTACTGGAATCAAGTTTGCTGAGGTCCCCATGCCTCCTCTACAGCACCTGGGAATTTTCTTACATCCAGCTCATGACTGATAACACAAAAGAATCTACCTGCTCCTCTCCATCTAGTCACTAGTTCAGCAACCACATCTGGCACTCATCCCAGATGGCCATCTGCTGGGCAGTGCCAGCTAGCTCCCTGGCTCCAGAGCACTGACTCATTGTTTGTTTTCAGTTTATATGTATGTTGCACAGAATAACATCACATCAGATTTTTAGGAGATCTGAGGTCCCCTCAAAATCCAGAGTTGAAAACAAAGCCCCTTCTCTAACGCCATTACCTTATCCTTCAGTTGCTGGCAAAGCTGCAGTGAAACTGTGAAGAAGACAAGGGCATCATTTAACCACGGGACAACACATTCCACTTTATGGACATGGCTGACTTCATACCGCTGGTTTCCAAACTCACTGGAGTAGGGGAAAAAAGAGCACAGCTTCACATGCAACAGCACAGAACACAAAACTCAACTGTCCTCCATTCTCACAGAGAGATCATTGTGATTTCTAGTACATTTAAAACAGCACCTGTCAAAGTTATAGAATGCAGACTCTCAGTCTACCTCTGACCAGGTTAAGAGTTAAGCTAAATCAAACAGGGTTAAAGCAGAAGCTTTTATCACTTTCCAGAGAGGCACAAAGGCAGGAAGTGCAAATGGCAATGTCAATAACCTAATGTTCATTTTGGTTGATGGCTCTGATCTCTAGACAAACCCACAGCACTGTATGGGTGGGCTGTACCCTGAAAAGCTGTTATCTTTGGGCCTTTATGATCAAGTCATTAAAGAAACATTATTATGGCACCTGTACATTCACAGGCACAGCCACAGCAAGAGACTTAGTTCAGCTTCTTCACTTAACAGATGCTATAATCAAAACTGTGTACAGCCATTTGGATCTCATCCTCGGCATACTCCTACACCTGTTACACAGCCCTTGCAGCGAGTATACTTACAACATGGCTCCAGGGTTGTGTAAAATGGACCCTCCAGCAGGCTTGAAGTTCTAGAGGAGAAGGAAAAGGTCATTAGATTTTTGACACAGTAAACAAACTAATTAGAAAGAGGATGTTTAAGGTTTGTACTTTGTGTTTGGTTTGGAGCGAGGGGTGGGGGGGTTGGTACTGGGGGAAGAGCCACCTTGTGAGAGCAAAAAGCTCCCGGCTCCAAGGCGGAGATCTCCCAGCCCAGGCTATGAGAACTAGAGAAACGCCTCTGGGAATCCATATTTGTGAGAGGAAGGACTGTCCTGAGAAGAAGTATGTGGGGTTGAACCCAGAGGAGAGGCCACTGACCTAACAAAAGACCATTGGCCTAAACAAAGGACAGACAGACACAGAGAGAGCTTCGTTGCCAGAGGAAAGAGGAGAAAGGGGAAAAGACAGAGACCACACCCAGTTCTACCCTATGGAGCAGGAGAAAACAAAGTCCCCTGCAGCCCATGGAGATCCAATGGCAGAGCAGAGATCCACATGTAGGCCACGGAGGACTCCACACTGGAGCACAGAAGCTGAGCCTGAGGGCAAGTGTGACTGGAATTGGGACCCCGAGAGTCGCTCACTGCCAGAGCAGGGGTGGACCCCCAGAGTGGGGAGTGAGTCTGCAGCCCGTGGATGTCCTCATTGCCGGAACCGGGACCTGAGCCCCAAGAGATCTGTGACTCCATGGGAAGCTGCTTTGGAACATCTTGTTCCTGGACTTTCACACTGGGAAAAGCAGCAGAGGTGACCTGACTGAACCCCCATTTCCTGTCCCCTGTGCCGCTGCTGGGGGAAGGTAGAGAAATGGGGAGCAAAGTGATTTGAGCCCGGGAAGAAGGGAGGGGTGGGGGAAGGTGCTGTCAGATGTGGTTGTTGTGTCTCACTGCACCACTCAGGGGAATGGCAATTAATTAAATTGATCTTTCTTCCCCAAGTTTGAGTCTGTTTTCCCCGTGACCATCACTGGTGAGTGAGCTGTCCCTGTCCTTCATTCCTAATCCCGTGCCACCTTTCTTGTGTCTCCCATCCCATCTCACCAGGTGGGGGGAGAGAGTGCAGGACCGCATGGTTCCACTGTGGGTCAAACCACCACACATTTTCAGTAGCCTGACATAAAGAAATGCATATACTGTATCTTCCTGAATACTCCATACATATGGAATCCATGTCATTGGATCCCTTCCTGCTCCTTCATGAAAAAAATTCTACAGAGTGGCTGAATCCAACTTAGCTCCAAATTTTAGCACCACAAAAATAAGATGTGAAGATCCAGAAGAAAAACAAGACAGATTTTAGGAAAAATATCCTTTTGGAAGGACTGCATTTCTTAAAGCTTAAGAGTTTAACTCTGTTTTTACAGGACATCAAGCTGACCCAAATGCCACAGGTGAAGCAGAAAAGTATCCATCAAAACTTGAAGCAGAAAAGTATCCATCAAAACTTCATTCAGAAAACCCAGGATGCTACTTCAATGTAAACTGAATTAATACAGTGATGCCCTTCTAAAATTACACAAAATTATCAAACTATATTTTTATATATGCTATAAAGCATTACTTGGCAAAAAATAGTTACTGGCTTTCCCCAGAGCACTAGTATTTTCTTCTGGGCTAAATGGCCCAGGACTAGATTTAGAGCCAGCGTTTTGTCTGCAGCAGATCTAAACACAGGCACTTAACAGCAGTTACAGTCATTTCTGCATTATCTGATGCATGTAACATTGCACCATACAGCAATGCAATCTCCTCCTCACATAGGGAAAGGTAAATAAACAAGGCTCAACAAATAATAGTCACCTTGGTTGTGCTGGGCTGCAGCACATGGAGTTGGTAGACCGTCAGGCACAGCTTATTCAGATTAATATAGAAATTCACAAGGACGTCTGGAGGCAGAGCAGGGGTGAACATTTTCTGGTGAGAAAATAAGTAGTTACTTTGTCAGTGAAAGGACCATTATTTCCAGTGCTGGGAATCACTACCTTTTTCTAAGACATACTACAGTTACCCTATAGTGAGAGAAACATTAGGGAAGAAACAAAGGCTGAGCAGGTTACAGGCAAGCTTGATCTTGCTGCACTTGATCAAATGGTGTGTGCATGATTGTGACAAAAGAGGATGGAGCAGTGTTCACAAGGGCAAATCATCCCTGGAACGAGCTTCCTGGTCAGAGAACACAACTTACTCTGAGAACCAGATTCTTCATGCCCAAGTCATCTGCTTTCCCATAGGAAAATACAAAGCAGACAAAAATGCTCAGGGTTTACACCGACTTCAGCTCTCTCTTTCTGCCTCAGGAGACATTTCAGAAATCCACTTCCACTAGGATGCAGCATAACATCCTAATTGTTGCATGCTGCCAGACTATATGGAGATCGAGGCCACCGCATACTTACTGTGAGACCACTGGAGGCAATTTCTGGTAGAGTCAGAGTGGCTGGAGTGGTGAGCCGATTTCGGGCTCTTGAAAGCTGTAACATCACAGCATCCATGAGCTACAAGATAATGTACAGTGCACTGCTGAGTGGTGATTTCTGGACAGCTCTGGATAGCATGCTGCAGAATCCTACAGCCTTTTGCGGGTGTTACAACAGTAATAACTATGCCCCTGCACTTCCAGGAATTCAGGGACTTACTGGGAAGGGGTGGCTCCCACATAAATGCAGTTTAACTGTTACCACCATCGTAGACACTTGTGAGGCAGGCCAAGAGTGTTTAATAAAAGGGGCTGAAGAGAGAACAGCTATTCATTAGAACAATAAGAAGAAAGCATGAGATCAATTACTGATGCCACAGAAGCATCAACAAACTCATCATCAGCTCTTCTGAAAAGGAAGCATTAAGTAAAAACAACAAGCTGTGTTCTAGTTCTCCCCATTCCCACATCATGGGTACAACTGCTGAATGCCCCCCCCGCTTCATAACCATCAATGAGCTAGGACACTGGAAAAAAGAACCAGCTCATTGTGAGTCCAATCCTGTCAGAAAGGCTCTATTCAGGCAGACTTCCTTTTGCAGGAAAAAAGTGGGAAGCAACATATGTCTGTTATAGAGATAATGACTGCTAAGATGAAGGCATTTTGTTATGACTGATTTCTCTCCCCTACTTCCACCCAAAAGTAAAAAGGAAATAGTTCTATTACCTAGCTTTTTCCTATTAGCAGGCCTTGCCCATGTGGAGGCTAAAAAGGTTTAGCTTTCTCATGTTTTATATTGTGATGGATTCTAATGAGTAAGTTGAAACCCTGGTAGCTTCAGAGAGTATTTCCAAGCAGAGGCCTGGGCGTTATTGCCATGCAGCAGTTGGTCACCGCATCAACTACGACTAGCAAGTGAGAAGTCACTTTCAAATCATCAGTAAATCACAGGTACTAACTATAATCTTTTGTTTGCTGATGACTGCCTCGTTTCTTCTGTCTCCAAAAGCATTGACTGACAGGGAAGGGCATGAGCTGTGTAACCACATCAAGATCAAAGATCAAGGGAGATGCTCCAAGAATATCACTGCTGTGCAACAGGGCACCGACTGCTCAGATTACCATTCACCATGATGTACAACCCTCTTAATTGATGCTGAACTGGTATAGATTCCTATCAAATATGAGGTCACATCGATACTCCTTGACACAGGTACATATGGGTACAATTGGGGAATCCATCTCCACTAAGAGACCCAAGACAGAAATGTGTATTAAATGTGTTTAAAACAACAAATGGAGGGAAAAAAACCCACATGTTTCCACCCAAGTAGAGGGGGCTTTCTCACCTTGAGAACCTCCGAGCCTGTTTTGAACTGGTAGTTTACATCTCTGTTCATAAGCAGGTATATGGCTTGGTTAACATGGTTTCTAGCATCCTGGATCTGCAAAGGCACAAATGCAGCCCTATTAAACACTCTTTATAATACACCCTAGGAAGCAGAGGTTTCCCTGATGATCTCATTGGCCCTAAGAGAATGGTGACTTTTCAAATGTTAAGGCCATTTCTCTCTGAGTACCAGACAATCACCAACACAAATCTACCACTGCTGCCCAGATGCATTACTGGGTTCTTCACTCAAGGACTGGAGATGCAAAAGTCATAGCTACAACCTGGATTGTCACTACAAATACTGCTGTTGCCCTGCAGGAACAGTGACATCAGGCTCTCTCACCCTGGGAGGACGCTGATCATGACTGTTGGGGCAGGAATCTCACTGTTCATGGTGTACAGCAGTCAGGTCTAGCAACACAAATAATTATTTCTTCCTTAGGAACTATCAGAGCTAAAACCAATGACGGAAATTACATCAATAGCAGCAATGAGCAGCAAACATTTCTAATATAGCATCTCTGGCAATATTCCAGAGTCCCTTTAAATTATAATCGTTGGGCTTGAGAGTTATTTCCAGCATCAAGAAGCTGCAATCATGCTGCTTGTGTGGAACCTGACTAGACTCAGGACACAGCTAGCACAAGGCCCTCTTGAGCAAGACTGCTTGCAGCCAGCAGACAATCATGAAAGCAGGGCTGATAGGTGTATCCCAGTGCTTTCACAGGAGCAAGGACAAACCAGAGGAAGAAGAAGATGGCCCTGGGAGAAAGTGACTCGTGTTAAGTTCCAGGCAGCAACAGGAAAACTGAAAAAAAGCAAATCAGAGGGTGCAATAAATCGAAAAGGTAAGCCCGGAAGCCTCTATGAGAGGTGTTTGCTGAGAGAAGGCTAACACAACTTGGGATATTTGTAGTTTGATACATCTACACCGCTCCTCAGCAACCCCAGATCCCAGCTCAGCCTTGTAGAGGCCTCTCTGGCATAGAGCACTGGTTCCTTCTCATCCAGAGCTCAGGGATCACAGAATAGCCCTGCTCTTAGAGAGCACAAGGCACTGGAGGCTATAGAGAGAAGAGAGAGATGATAAAGTTCACTGTCAGACTGCAGAGAGACTCTGCAGGTCCTTGGGCTATGGCATCTCCAAACATCACCACCTCCAGCCTTTACATCTCCCAGATGCCTTTGAGCAAGATAAGTGGCTCCTGGCAGAGTTACCCAACCAAGCAATGCCAATCTTGCTGTTACAAGGACTTGCTTCATTCCTATTCCCCTTTGATTTTGCTCTGTTTTCTAATCAAGTTCCTCAAAACCTGTGTGCCTGCAATTTGTGTTCCTCAAAAATGTGCCTATATTACAAGTTCTTACTGATGACTTGACTTTGCACAAAGAAACAAAACTCCAACTGGCACCACTCACTAAGGGAAGAAACTCACAATACTTCAAGATGCTTATTTTTAATTCAGACAGGACAAACATCTCCACATAATCACTATAAATGCTTCTGCAGAGAGTCCTTTAGGCACTCACATTCCACATGTGAACAACATTAGAACAAAAAACTCTTCCAAGTAAATAAAGTGTTTTCCATAAAAGCTGTTAGAAGCCTATCAACTGGGCAGCAGTACAAAACACCCTCAAAATAGGAAGCACTGCTGAGTGTTATCACAAAAACTTCCTTGCCTTGTTGCAAGGCATAAACGAACTCAGCCAAGTTTCGCATGAACACCTCAAGTACACAATTTTCCAGATTTCTGCAAAGTTACCGGGTAGAGCTTTCACTCCAGTGCCAAAGCAGCCATTGGAAACTGTACTGAAGTCCAAATGCACTGGTCACCTAGAAAAAATCTGAGCCACAGTGTTGTGAAGCACATGGAATACACCTTTCTCCAACCTACTTAGCTACGACAAATTAACTCTGGGCAACTATGCTTTCAAGATCAGGCACTAGATCAGGTCCTGAAATCAGGTATCTCACAGCAAAATGGTGGGAAAGAGATTCAACGTTCTGGACAACCACACCCCTTTAACTCTGAGCATGTGCTGAGGAGGAGGGGAGGTCCTGGAGTGAGGGGAGGCTGCGGACATGACACTGAGTCCTGTCAGGAGTGGCCGATCTTGAGCAGGGCTGGCACAGTGGGGGCGTTGCCAGGGGCAACTGTGGGCAATTTAAATAGCCCCCAGGGAGCGTGGGTGACCAGGGCATGGGGCGGCAGATGGACATGGGGCAGCAGTTTACATAGGCAGGGCGAGCAGGAGAGGCGAGCAGGGAAGGGCACTGCTACCATCAGGCACTGCGATCAAGCAGAGCTGAACCGTCCCTGCGGCAGTTCAATAGAGCAACAAAAACTCGGGTGTCGCAGAAGTCTGAGCCGTTAGTCACACAGGCAGGAACAGCCATGGTTGTTGAGCTGTGGGTAAAAGAAATGTGGCAACCCAGACAGAAGTCCATGTAAATTTGCAGGTGTCCAGGTCCCTGGCTGCAGGGAGTGCTGGGGCCTCTCACTTGAAATGGAGAGGTGCAGGGATGACACCTGTATTCGCTGTGAGCAGGTGAATGATCTGCTCAGCAGGGTGGCTGAGCTGAAAGAGGAGGTGGAAAGGCTGAGGACTAGAAGGGAGTGTGAGAAGGAGATAGACTGGTGGACTCAGGCCCATCCCTGAGCCAAAGGTAACAGGTTTCACATGTAGCACAGGATCCCCT